AAGATGGCTGAGGCCACCACAGAGTCATAGAAGGTCTTCAGGAGTGGGCCCTCCACTCCAAACGACCTGAGTTAGCAATAAAGAAGAGGAGCAAGTACAAAGGGAGTAACATTTTATTAAAGTGTCAGGTAATTTGAAATGTAACATTTTTATCAGGTCAAGTTTGTGGACTGTTGGTCACAGTGTGTTGCTAGCTAAACATCCTGCTGCTGTATTTTATGGGGTAGTGAAAAGAATAACAGCTGACTGCACTCAGAGATGAAGAAATACAAGATAGATAGGAGAGGAAGAGCAGTTATATTTAATGGTGAGAACTGCTCAGGGGCATTTAATGAACAGGAAATGTGCTTGTTGTTTTTTTTTAAATTAGGTACTGGATCTGTATGATGTGAAGTTTTTGTTTTTGTTTTTTTTATTTTATGAAACATCCTGTATCCTGTAACCTGTATCGGACTGTTGCACAGGGGGTGTGGTGCTCATGCTCTGTATTAGGTTACATAAAGTGTAGCAGAGAATAATTTGGATTTGAGCTGATAATACTTAAGTTCATTCTTTGAATTCCACCTTTATGCTAACCAGGTCTAATTTAAAGTTATTCTGAAGAGTATGCTGTCATTGTAGAGGATGCAAATCAACCGAGATGGCTTGTGAAATGTTGGATTACGTCCTGCTCAATTCAGTTGAGTACATCTACAAAAAGCAGTAAATCTGAGAACCACAGCACAGTCAGCTCTAAATTTAGGTATTGTAACCACTATAGTCTACTAACTTGCTCTTTGAGGCAGTTATAGTCAGCAGTTGGAACGCTGCAGTTTGTGGCTTCGGCAGCTGAGGACATGCATGCTTGGTTGTGACTACATTTTCAAAATGCAATCCAGAAAACGAAAACTTTATTTCATAAATTTATATCTTAAATAAAAAATAACATTTGCAGATTACAATTCTGTTTCATGAGCCATCAGTAACAATATCACATAACCACACTGAACAGCTTTACTGTATGAATAGTTCTTTGTTTTTATGCCACTCCTTATTTATGATACTAATGCCACAGAAATACTGTAAAATTCAAAACACATTGATAGCAAAGCCTTGACAGAGCACCTGAAATGATTATTTATTTCATCTCTATCACTTGTTGTTGCATCAGTCCTGCCAACAGCAGTCCTCCTCTGTGTCCTCTCTAGCTCCTGCCATGGCTGGCCCTGCCCAGTCTGATGTCATAGGTGACCATGTGGAAGTTGTCCCAGGCATACAGCTTCCTCTGAGCATGGTTGTAGTCCACCATGCTGTTGTAACTGTACTTGTTTTTGAAGGGCACAGAGACAGCTTGTACCACACCAGTGGCTGTATCAAACACAAAGTTGATGGTGGTGTTGGGAACAGTGTAGCTAGCCACTGTGTACAAACGTCCACACACCATGAAAGCGTTGGCCACTGTGTTCTTCTTAATATTAGTCTCCCAGGTCTTTTTCACCTCCAAGCTCTCGGGGTTCAGCTGCGAAATTACAATTGCACCCCTTGCTTTACTTGTACTGTAGATGGCCCACAGACCCTGTTCATCCACTGCTAGGTCAATGTCAGTGTAGCCCCCCCAGGAATAAGGGTGCTGGCCATGGAAGCCGGCATGAGGCAGGTCCATGCGGGATGCCAGATATTCAGAAGCCAGGTCATAACGAATCAGTGTCCGACTGCGTCTTCGTTGATAGTAAAGGGAGCCTCG